TACCACTTCTTGGGTGCATCGCGGGTAAACACGGCGTACACCCTGATCCCGAAATGATCAAGGCAATCACCGACTGGCCAGTGCCAATTGATGTCAAGGGAATAAGGAAGTTCCTTGGGCTAGCGGCGTACTTGCACAAGTACTCGCGTAACTACGCCGAGATGACTGTTCATCTTTCTTGCTTACTCAAGAAAAATGTCAAGTGGTCATGGAACGCTGTGTGCCAGCGTTCCTTTGAAGGTACTAAGCAAAGCGTGATGCAATCCCCATCTTGGCGATTGCAGATCAGGACAGATCATTACATGTGTTCTGTGACGCCAGTGATTTTGCAATCGGGTATACACTGATCCAGTTCGACACAGATGGCGCGGAGCGCGTCGTCTGCTATCAATCGCGGCAGCTGCAACCAGCCGAACGCAATTACTCAGTGCATGACAATGAACTACTTGCCATGAAGTATGCACTGGCTAAGTTTACGCGTCTATCTCTTTGGAGATAGACCGTTCATTGTCTATACGGACCATGCGTCATTACGCACGGCCGTAAACAGCCCACACCTCTCGCAAAGAATGGCGAGGTGGCTGTCTTTCTTCGCGGAGTATAACTTCTCCGTGGAGTATAAACCAGGACGACTCAACGTCGTCGCTGATGCGCTGTCGCGCCGGCCCGATTTCGAGCCGGACGCACAATTCAACAGTGAGGATAATCCCACTGTTGCGACACTGTCAGTCAGTGTTCCGTCGTCAAGCTTACTTGACGACGTACGAAAGGCATACGCGGAAGATATGGATCTTCTACGATTGAGTGGATCATCTGGTGCATCCATCCAGTAAATCCATGAGGGATTTACCGGCTCTGTACCGATCCTCATCGGATCGGCATAGTAGACGCAACGGATTGCTATACTATACAGCTGTTGCCGACGACACGTCTCGTGTCGTCGTCCCCGCTCATCATGATTTGCGCTTACGCATCATGTATGAGTGTCACGATGCCCCAACAGGTGGCCATCGTGGTAGAAAAAAGACCAAACTCACGTTAAGTCGTGACTTTACTGGCCACACCAGTATCATTTTGTCCGCAAGTACATACGTGCTTGCGAGGTTTGTCAACAGGTGAAGCCTAGTCCTTCATCTCGTGCGCCATTGCAGCCTCTGCATGTTCCGACAGAGTGCTGGCAGTCCGTTTCAATGGACTTCGTCTTCGGGTTTCCCGAAGACGCTCACGAGAATACTGGTATTCTTGTGTTTGTTGACCGGTTCAGCAAGATGGTGCATCTTGCTGCTGTCCCTGAGTCGATCAAGGCTCAAGGTTGTGCTCGTGTCTTTCTCGACACGGTCTCTAGACTCCACGGGTTACCCCGTGAACTCGCATCCGACCGTGACCCTCGGTTTACGGCGGCGTTGTGGCAATCAGTGTTCCACACATTGGGACACGATTGAAGATGTCTACTTCTGACCATCCCGAAACATATGGTCAGACGGAACGTGCGAACCGTGTCCTCGAAGTGATCCTTTGAGGATATTTCCACTCATTCACGAGTTGGAGCGAATTCCTACCCATGGTGAAATTCGCCATCAATAATTCGGTGCATGCTTCCACACAGCACACACCGTTTTACGTGAATGACCTACGCCATCCACGTGTGCCCACCCTTCTAGAGTGTGACTCTTAAATAAGGGGGGGAGGGACTTGCTCGAGCAACAACCGTTTTGGCTCTTGCTCATCACGTGTCGACGCTAACGTCGTCACGTATGATGCCGATGTCGATCAGGTCGACATCGATGAAGAAGATCACCTCAATAATAGCGACGACGCTATTTTTGACTCGGATGATGATGACGATGCTGGTATATTCAGCATCGTCAACGATTATGCCAGCGAGGAAGAAGACAACCTCGCTGAAGAAGATAACAATCTCTTAGCGATGCGCACGAAGCGCACTGAAAGACAAAACAACGAGTCAGAAGAGAACTTCCTGTTGACTCGAGAGGCGGTAGTCAGTTTCGTTCAGGACTCCATCGCAAATGCGGTGGACCGTCAGAAACGGAACGCATACAAGAATGGAAGAGCAAATGTTCTTTCATTTAAGGTTAACGACCTAGTACTACTGTCTACGGTAAACTCACCTGGACATGCAGTCACTAGTGTCGGCAGTGGTAAACTACTGCCGAAGTACATTGGGCCATTTCGAGTGTTGCATCGTAAGGGCAATGCAAACACGATCGAATTGCCACGTTGGATGCGCACGCATCTAACGTTTTACGTGGGGCGACTCAGGCCGTACTGTCGGTACGAGCCTTCTTCTTCCGATGAAGATAGCCCCCGTTCAAGAACATCAATCAAGTTCTTGTGTTCGCGCTCCAGACGATCCGTCTGGTCGCGCAGATAAGATACCTCAGAACTCAACCGAGATATCTCCCCGCGAGCTGTCGCCAGCTCGCCGAAAATGGAGCGGACATCCCGCTCGACCTGAATCTGCGCTGTGGCATAATCGACGCGGTCTCTCGCCCGATCAGCCTCGTGACCCTTGCAGTTCTTCCGCCCGGTATCAGTCAAAGCGTAGCGCCGGTCGCGCTCGTGCTTTAAGTCATCGCGCAATTCATCGATTGCGTGATCCATCTCGTAAGGGTCGAGATGGTGAACCGAATCATTTGGAGGAGGTCTTTACTCCTCCACCACATCCTTTGGTGGATGCTCACGGTTATCAACACTCTATAGTGGAGCGTATCTTGAATCACCGTGACGATTCAGGATCAAGGACGAGCTACCTCGTCCAGTGACGGGGGTATCCACCCTCTTGGAACAGCTGGGATCCCCGCTCTCAGCTTTTGATGGACGTTGAAGGTCTCGTCCGCCAGTATGAAGAGACCCATCCGATGAGTCCTCGGGCCCATCGGTAAACACGCGCTTTTGGCGCTTGTAGACGGATTGCAAGTTTGCAATCTCGTCACGCATCTCCTCCGAGATGTGTGCCCTTCCCCAGGGCGAACTTAGGGAATACACGTCCCTATGTGCACGCTGCGAGTTGTCAATACAACTCGCACAAGGGTCTCCCCATATGAGGCAAGGAATGTCTGCTTCACTCGACAAACAGTGCAACCGGTACCTGGCACCGGTTGGCGTTCGCTTTTCGAACCTGAGGCGTGTCGTCTCAAGTTTCATGAGCCACCCTTCTCGTCCAAAATTCTTTACGTTTTGGACGAACGCGTTCCACGCAGCCAAAAGCGATGTTTTGTCACGCTTTTGATTGCCGTTGTACCATCGATGCTTGAGGAAAGCATCGAGATAAAAGTCTTATTCAGCGCGAAAGTTCTTCGCGCTGGGACTCAAGCCGTGAAGCTCAGTCGCATCGAATAAGGGTATTCGATGGTGTTGGCTTGTCTAATTAGACAAGCTATTGATGAGCCGTTCGGGAAAACGACCCGGCTTCAGCTCATCACGCTTCACAGTGGTACCTTTGTTGGTACCACGGCTCCCAGATTGACGACGGCTCACGCCATCGTCATCACGCTCGCGCGAAGACGCACGAGCAGGCGGTGGTAAGGAATAATTATCCTCACCACCCTGATCATCGTCATCACTGCCGAACGGACTGTGATGCAAATCACGAGTCCGTTCGTTCGGCAGTGGCCTTGGCGGATACTGAGGCATCGCCGGTGAGCGAGACGCCTCTGAAGCATCGCCCGAGTCAGACACGTCTGACGTGCCGGAATAGATGACCTCAACGTCAGCGTCATCATGCGCACGCGGTGAGGTGCCGCGTGCACCTGCAGCACCTGTTGCTGCAGGCGAAGAACGAGCAGCAGACGACGAATCGTCTGCCGCAGAGGCTGGAACAGCACCGGGCTGTGTAGGTCTTGAGTCACCTCGCAAAGACATGTTAACCATGCGAGGTCAAGCGGAAAGTGAATGGAACGGACCCAACAAGTACTCCCTGTCCCAATGGTGACCAACGGGTGGCCACCATATTTTCGATAGTCACACGGTGACTATCAGTTGAGGGGGGTGATGTAACGGGGCAGCCCGTTACATGGAAATTGCCATTAAAGAAACAATTACAATCAAGAATATTAACTTGAATATTCTTTAAACAATATCACCGAAGTGGTGATATTGAAGGGTCGACCAAAGCGTATGTTCATTGGTTGATATCTTGATGATATCAAGCCACCAATCGCCGCAAGACGCGCGCAATGAGTGGTGACGAGACGTCACCATACACTCAGTTATATTAGCATAATTAAGTCAAGTTAAACAGAGAGACAGTAGCAAAAAGTACTTTATTATATTAATACAACAGTTTTATTTTTCCCTTATTTACGCTTCCTCGTTTGCCTCGTGTACGTCTGTCGGGGCACCCAAACCCTTCCGTTAAGTTCACGCAAGGGTGTACCCCGTTACATCTGCCATCGAAAAAGAGGAGGCAGAGCACTCCTGGGCACCGTTCGATAGGACGTGCGTGCAACAAATGAGGTTCGTCGTAGCAGAGGAGGGTATCAGCCAAGACCGACCATACCTGCGCAAACAGTTGCCCGTCCTCCCCCATGTCGGGCTGGTAGGTTGATCCACGAAACCTTCGAACCGACCGGCGAAAGATAGTCTTGGCCCTAGCTGTGTGAACATCCTGTGATAGAGACGGGCCTTCCATGCGGCGGAGGCGCTCGACCTAGATGGCATGAAGTCTCGTTGATACGACAAAACGCCACAGCTCTCGAGCTTCCGGGAAGGCCACAGCCTAAGCTTTCAATAAATCTGCCCCTGTGGTCATAGATTGCTTGACAACAACCCAGGCGTTGGGCGGAATTCCCGGGAGGTCCAGTCCAAACACCCAGACATGCAAGTCATCCTTCTGGAAAGTACTAAGCCATCGCCACCGATCAAGGATGTATTTCCAGTGTCGACGCGCGCTAGTGCATGTCCAAAAGATATGTCTCGCCAGAGCAGGTCGTGTGCAGCACTTATGCGAATCGGTCAAATTGCTGGACACTATCACTGTCATGAACAGCTCCGAAGCCGGCGAAAACGAAGACTTTTTCAGCTCCGAGCTGTACGTCAATCGTAAGTTGGTTGTTGCTGCGTTGACACATGTGAATTTCTCGTACAGCGTTGACGTCCACGCTAACTCGTAGTCGTGCAGGTACGCAACGCAGGAATTCGACTTTGGCGTGGCACAGCAGAAGCTGCGATGCGCTCACGCCGCTTCCACGGGCCACGACCTCACAGGTCAAGTCGTGTAGCCAGCCTCAGCTTTCCTAGCATGGTACGTCGTAGCCCACCGTGAGGTCTTGCTGGCAAGACAATCGTCGAACTGAGCGCTGGCACAGGCCTCAGTGGTCTTCTCGCGTCTCAATTGCGTGCGTCTTTGCTCTTCTTTGTCTCGCGTTGTTCGGCTCGTAATGCCTTTGGGCGTGTGTCGGAACAGAGCTCACACCGCCTTGACGGACGGCAACGACATTGTGCTGGAGCTGCTGAAAGAAAATGCCGAGACAAACGCCGACCCGAGAAAGTGCAAGTAATGCTGCTGCTGTGGGGTGAACGTGCGAGCGTTGTAGTTTTCGAATGCGCGTTTCCTCACCCCGTGGACGTGCTCATTAGCGCTGACGTCGTGTGCTGCCCCAATCTTGTGAAGCCTACTCTGCAGACGATCAGGTACTTGCTGTTGCGCTCGCGCGAACGAACCACTGGCGACCAAGTTTTGCTGCGGTTACGTGTGCCGTGCGCAGTCGACAGAAGATCTGCTGTACAAAGGGACATCGGCGTTTGGCGTTCGGTTCGAGCGCGTCCAAGAAGACACATTTCTTCCTGCGCCGCGACCGGCTGATGTGATCTCAAACCGTGAATTGCGGCTGATCGTGTTCACGCTGGACCCGCACAAGGCCAATTGGGACGAGTCCGTGACATTTAATGACGATGAGCTGAAAAACATGCAGACTGTTTGCTAGAGCAGGCTGTGTGCGAGAACCCTAAATAAAATACAAAGAGGAAATGAGAGGATTCTCGTAAAGAATCTCGGTGCACAAGTGATGAGTTTGCGACTCTCCGTTTGTAAAACAGTATCACCAGACAGCACGGGTCACCTCAATGTGCAGTCGTCATTCGATCAGCGCTATCGTTGTTGCCCACGATAACAAACTTCAACGCTCCGGCTAACATCAGCCGCAACTCCATACGAAGAGGGTCGTTTCCAAATTCCGAATGCAACGATACACCATTAGCCAACTCAGCCGTTGACGAGAGCAGATAGAAAACCCCACCAATCGTTGCAAAGTCCTTGCAGTCCACAAGCATTCGGCATGTGCTCTACACACACGATGCATTGTTTCGAGCAGGCGTCATGAAGTCCTTGTCACATATAATACGACTACATTATATCTGCGATCGCTTTCGGTCCACGCGCGCATTTGATTGATCTACATTAGTACGAGCAATACCGTGTCGACGGCGATTGTACATAGTCGAGAAGTTCAGGACGGCCACGGGCAAACGATCATACAGAATCGACAAAAGTAAGCATACGCGGGACAAATGGGAATGCCAGCAAATATTGCAACTTACTCGCCCGGGATGAAGAAAAAATGACGATGAGACTGAGTCCGTGTGTGCCGTTGACGTGTAAGCAGCTGCAGTGGACTCGGCAGTGGTCTTTGACGGTGGGCAAGTCGAGCAGTACCACCGTGTGCGTCGCCTTGCGCATGTTGCCGTCAAAAAAAGACCCACACCTTCAGCTGACACCGACTCTTTGCGTTTTTTGGTCTTTTGGTACAGATCATTGACAGGATCACCAATCCAGTATCTTCAGGCAATCAGTGTGTGTAATTAACATCGACGTCTCCGATCCGCTACTTTCGCGGCAAACAGCTACAACGTCTCGACGATGCTTTGCCGCAAAGATTCCACGATAGCTGAGTAGCTGGCACATAGATCGGATATAAGGAGGGACTAAAGCAGGCAAAATTAAACCTCGTCAAGCAATCATCACCACATTCAAAATTACAGTGTCGACATCGAGTGCCACGTACTTATGCCTATCATCGACTTCCGTCACGTTCTCGGGATACACAAGTGCGATGTCTCCAGCCCTGGATGGGGCTTGGTCGTGTCGCAAACTCACACACCGTCGCCAAAAGCACTCTCCACGTTCCGCCCATTCTGCTTCTACTCGTCCAAGTAGATTTACATGCGCCCAGCAACAGATAAACAGCAAAGTTCTTCTCAAGCCCCATAGACAAGCGCGAAGGCACATAAAAACCCGCTTCGTCTGTCGCTAGCATCAACTTGCTTGCATCCTCCACCTGTCTTTTCCAGAACCGTGCTTAGCCATGCGTGACGACAGAGTAGTGAGGCACCATATGCATTTCTGCTTTGCGAATCTTTAACTGTCAATCCTTCTACCAGCGGACGCAGCTGCACAACCTTCGTCCAGAGCTTTTCCTGCCGCGGACTTAGCACTCCGAAGTGTCCAAAAGCGCAACGACCTCTCCCCGACAATCGATTAATAATTTCAGCCCCTCCCACAGCAGGCGATGTGTCTGTAGACGTCGAGCTGCTGCAAAATCGTTGACGTACCTCATCTCGACTAGTCCAAGAGCAGCAATGCGGACGCTTCAGCCACTCATTCCCAAGTTCCGTTTGTAATTGACCGCGCCAGCTGCTGCATATGCTCTCACATTCTTTGATTACTGTCGTTATAGCCTTATTAACGACATCAAAGTAGCACTGAGGCAGCCATATGGATACTAAGATCGCGTCCACGGCATCTCCCTCCGCATCCAAAAGAAGATGCCAACCATTCGAGGTACATCACGAGCGCGGCCACATCTTGAGCGGTATTGTATCGCTACTGAACAGCACCCGCAGTCATCTAAGAGCCATTCTCCTCTCTCGAGAAGCGATCGCTATCTCGGCACAGGATGAGCAGTGAGAGCTGCTCGTATGGTAAATGGTGTGGTATGCGTGTAACAATCTGTGGACCACCTGAATATCGACGCGCAAGGGAAAATCCAAGTGGCGTCAATTCGCACTTACCACGAGCGTCGTGGCCAACGCGACGAGGCGTCCCCTCGCACGCGCTTCTGATTGGCTGACGGCCAGTGCCTCGTGCAACATACACATCCGTCCGCTCGAACGAGACGCCCGTCTGCCGCCCATACAAACGTCCAGTGTCGTCTCGTGCCCTCGCGACGTTTCGCTCTCTCTCATGTTGTCGCACGTGCGCCCAGCACGTACCCGACCCCTCGAGTCGCTGCTACGTCTGACCCGTCTCCTCTCCCACGCGGTCCGCTACGCGACTCCGTTGCGCCGCCCGACCGTCTGCCACACGCCACTACTTCGATCGCGAGCACAGCTTCGCAACGAGACGTTTGTCCAGTCGACTCCATCCACCGACGGCCAATAAGCGAAGCGCACTCGACGAGCGCTTTGCTGTGGCTGATGGACCAGTTGACGAACCGACTGGCAATAGGACTGCGCACGTTGCAACAAGGAATCGCTTCGAGACGAACGCCTGCGGTTCGTTGGGCGCTGCGGTAGAGTTTTGCGCAGCACTCGTGACTCGTACTCGAGTTTTGGCGGCTGTTGTTGCGTCATTAGAGAGCGGTAAGTGCTGCGGAAAGGTTAGGGAAAGTGCGTTTGCTGCTGGCTGGATGGACGTTTCAGCGGCTAGTAGCTGTCTGCGTCACCGTGCGACCACAGGATTGTGGTCTGCAGAGAGCCAGTGGGCGTCTGTGAGAATTGAACGCATTGGGATTTTTCGCTGTGCATGATAACCTGACACTCGGTCTTGTTTCATAGCGCGATGCACAGCAGTGGTCAAACACACATCAGCTGCTGAGGCGCATCTACCTGCTCTGGCCAAACTTGCAGAAGATGTTGGCATGCCGCCGGATGGGGCAATTGGTAGCGTCGACTCCACATGACAAGTCGGCAGTGGTTGGTGGAACGTTGACCAGCAGCCATGATATCTGGACGTTTACGGATTTGACGAGCGCCGGTAGACTGTTGATGGAGATGTCGGCAAAGACTGCGAAGCGCTTGTTACTGGAGCTGGGATGCAACGCTCTGTTCGAAGGTGCTGATCTGGACAAGGCTATGGAAAGTGTGATATCTCTCAAGTTTGCAACTTGTGCTAAACTTGTGTGTGTAATTACTGCTTCTTTGTCCGCGAAAGCATAGCGACGAATTTGTAGCCAGGTTGGTTGAGCTTTTGAAGCAGCTCAAGATGATCCCGCTTTGTGGGTAGACCGTTAAATGTGGTCAATTGATTAGCCATAGCGCTTTGTCGAAGACGCGGAGCTCATGGAAGTCGCAGATATGAACTGCGCATTGGCCGTGACGGATGGCAAGCAAATTGGCGTTGGATGCGACTCATACGGGCTGAGGCGTTCGTTGCCGTGGTTATTGGTGTGGACAACACGATGCATGTCTGGACGGAAGAGATTGTCGATTATATCGTGTCGCTATGATCATTTCGTTGGAAGAAGGAGTGGTTGCGGTGTTTAATCGAACGGAAGCTGGCCTTGGTGTATGTTTTCTCGCAGAATTTATCGCATACGTGGCGCGTTACGTTTGGTTAGAGTGCAGCATGGACGGTGCAGATATGGGTGCGATCTCGATTGCGTAGGCTCCGTTTGGCGATGTGAAGCAGTCTGGGCTAAGACGTGGAGGTCACTATCTGTCAGCTCATTTTGATAGTTATGAACGACTTTTCCGTCACAATTGGAACATTTCGATCTGGCATTTTCCGTTCGCTGAAGGCATCTTGCCTATCGCGCAAGGTCACGATCTCTTTTCTCTTGGTCATAACTACTAGAGCTGACTACAAAGTCGTTTTGTGTGCTTCCAAAGGACAGCACCGGATCAGTTACCTATGCACCCGCTGTGTTTTGTCGCAGTTGTGTGTCATGATGTGTTTGCTCGGTATCTATAAAGATAAGTTTACTGGCTTACATGCTGACTGCTGGCTGTTATAAAACGGCCCGAATGTGCCAATTTGCCAGCTACGCGGACCGACTAGGGGCACCTGCTGGTGCGGGCCAGGTTGGCTGCAAGCTTTCGTAGCAAGCCTCAAGGCATCATTTGTGCTATGATGCAACTAAGAAGCAGAAACAATGTTTTGGGACTGACGCGACCTCAAGCAGTGTAAGTTGCTTGACCAGTGTACGGATAGCCAAATTTCCGACGTCTGGATCAGGTGGTAAATGGATAAGCTGGAGGCGTCGACGGTTTGTGCTTGAGGAGCTCAGCAATATCATGTATGCCGGACACATGAATGTAAAGCACGCAAGTATGCGATTATGGTGAAGTGCTGGATCTCGATATTACACACACGTAATTTACAGCTTCCTTCTACACTTTTGCGAGGATGCGACATGTCTTTCGTGACTTACCGCCAACATGTTGGTCAAGCTTGACAACAAACTTGGTGTAGCCGTGCGCATTTTGACCGATGCCTCCGTCTTTCGTCTTTCACTGCACCTCATCATCGCATGAGCTTTACCACCGCGAAAGAATAGACGGGCAAGCAGCAACGTCCGTGCTCACGGGGCGCAACTTGGATCGTTAGCGTCTACCCTATATGCGTCTGTTGTAGGTTCGTCCAGACGGTCTAGATCGCAGGGCGTCAACCCTGCGAATCTTGAGCTTAGTTGTTCGTTTGATGCGCATCGTGTTGTACCAACAGCACCTCGCAACGATGGCTTTACTCTATATAACACCAACACAACAACCTGAAGAATGGGACCGAGCCCGTCGATGTTACGGACGAGGAAAGCACCACGATTAGCAGACTGTTGTTGTTTCCATGAATACGAATATGAGGAAGGCTTCTGCCCAGTGCCCTCTCTCTCTCCAATGATCAACTGATGACTCTTGTCACCGTTAGTTGTTCTGTTCGCGCAAGACATTGGATTGTCGGCAATTATGGCTGCGAAGGCGCGTTTGGGCA